ATTGGTCCAGAGGCGATGAAAATGGACCAGAGGCGATGCATTGGTCCAGAGGCGATGCATTGGTCCAGAGGCGATGAAAATGGACCAGAGGCGATAAATTGGTCCAGAGGCGATGAAAATGGACCAACCCTTTGAAACACACATATTTGGGCATAACATTAATTAACCTCAAAATATGGGATATTAATTTTCTAGAAAACTTCGAAATATTCGTTTTATTTTAGTGATAAAACCACCCAAAACACAATTCCAAACCGGATATAACGGAGTTTTTACTTAAAACCCGAATTATGTAGCAAAAGAATACGGGACGAGACTATATATAAGCTACACATACTATAACTACGAGATACGGTAATAAGCTACTATTTACCCAAAAGCAAGATCGATATCTTCAAGTTCTCCGATAAATCTTCAAGTCAAACAACGGGTTCTTTCTTTTTGTCCGTCTTCTTTCCTRAGAGAGGTTGCCACTTAAATGGTAAGCCAACGCTTAGTAAGTTAAACAATTAAGCATTACATATCAATATCGCACATGTTTATAAACATACATAATAAACTCTTATCAATAAAAGAGTTCAAGACATCATCCAGATGCAAACCGAGACTTACAAGAAACCGAGTGAACAATTACGTACCGGATGCTAAGATCATAAGATTCCATATTCAAATCACCATAGTATACCATATCATTGATGCTCAATACAACAAGGAGACAGGATCAACAACCAAATATATTCAGCAACGTTAGAATACCAATAAATATCAAGAACCAAGAGATGGAATCGGTATACATAACGAGGACAGTGCATCCCCCCGTCCTTCACCTTCAGGGCTCATGCCAAAGTTCGAGTCAGAATCATACATTACAGGAAACCTCGCACTGCCCGCCTTCCTCTACCGGGTATGTGCCAAGGTTCCCTACTCATTGCTCTTCCTCCTTTATGAGCAATGAGTATTCACAATCGCAGAAAGTCTCACCCGTCCAACCCAGGATCTTGACTTCGCCATAAACTTCTGGTGTGCCACACAAAGTAGTACCCGTACTATGGCGTACAATTCAAGGAACAAAACAAACAAGTCTAGATCCGAAAAGCAAACTGATGTACTGAGATAGTAATATGGAATCGACTCAAGAGACGAAATCAAAGACAAATCAAGA